CCCGCGCCGGCCACGCCCCCGCCAGCTGCAGACAACCGCCCCTCGGCCCGCAGGGACACGCCCGAGCCACCTCGGTCCGGCAGGTGCACGGGTGGGCACGGCCGCGGGGCCACCGGGGTCGGGAGCGACGGGGACCAGCGCGGGCTGCTCTAAACTTAAACTGGTGTACGTTATGTGGATGAATTGTGTAACATGTGAACTATACGAGTATCTTAGAAGAAGTGCTTTCTAAACAACGAACCCAAGAGGCTCTCAGTTGAGGACGCGTAGGCATGCACAGGGGCCGGCGGCTCAGCGAGCCTTCAGAAGAAGGGCCCCGTCAGCGGCCCTGGGGAGGGAGGACGTCTCAGGAGGTAGAACCCAGGGGCTAGAGTACATTATTTCATAAATATATACACAAGAGACATTTTCAGCACCACACTCTCCCGAGTAAGCCACGGGCCGGCCCTACACAAGAGACATTTTAAATGCAAAGTAAAACAACGAAGCACTCGTCCGTCCAGCTGGCAGATGGGTACATGGAGATTTTCTGTTTTCTACGGGATGCTGGTGACGTGCAGCAAGACAAGCCTGGAAAGAAAGATGGCTGGAAGAGCACACGGTCCTGACCTTTACGGAAAATGAAATCAGATGCAGACTGAAGATTTATGAAGGAAGATAATCATCACGGTTATTTAGGAAAAACTTGAGACCACCTAACAGTCCAGTAGGTGAAAAACGGTTAAATTCTGAGTGCTATGCCACGACTTGATAACAATGTTTCCCAAGAACTTTTAGTAAGATAAAAAAATGCAAGATAAAACATTCCAAACATTTGTTCCAAGTAAGTAACTTAATTTTGAAATAATAATAATACGGTAAAATAACAAAAGTATCACTCATTGGCAGGATGAATGACCTCATGTGTTCACATTTTCTAAATGAATCATTACCTCTACAAACATTACATTTAATCCGCTAAATTAAAAGGATGAAAATCAAGAACACAATATTTTCAAAGTAAACCAAGCAGGATGATGAAGCAGGTAAGGACAGGGCCTATAAAGTCTTCAGAGGAGGAATAAACAGATCTTCAAGACTGCTACGGTTTAGAGAATGAAAAAGAAGTCTTTGCCAACCACAGGGTCTCCAGCTTCGAGGGATACGGAACAAAGAAGAACTTGGGGGGAGATGAACTCCATTTTGGATGTGTTTGAGCAACCTGTGAGACAGTCCAGTAGAGAGATCTAGAGAGCCATCTGGAGCTCAAAAACAGAAGTTAGGGACTCAGGGTCAAGGCATTTGGGGATCTTTGCTGTAGAGGTGTGAGCAAAGAGCCTGCTGTTGCCCCTCACCCAGGAGGCATCATCCTCGAAGACATCAAAGAAAACTGATAGGGGCCGAGCCCGTGGCGCACTCGGGAGAGTGCGGCGCTGGGAGCACAGCAGCACTCCCGCCGCGAGTTCGGATCCTATATAGGGATGACCAGTGCATTCACTGGCTGAGCGCGGTGCGGCCAGTCTCAAAAAGAAAAAAAAAGAAAGAAAGAAAGAAAGAAAACTGATAGGCCATAAGGATCGAAAATGTCATTTTTCATGCTTTTGAAGAATGTTCTTTAAAGGGTGGGGTAATATCAGACTTAAATAAAACCAGAATTCTGTGAATCTAGAAGTGTTTCATTGGGGGAGGGGAGGAACATACAGCACTGCCAGGAATTGCAAGATAGTTCATCGGATTAGAAGCAACCATTTAACCTCTCATTCCTTGAAAGGGTTTTTATTGCAAAACTTTCCCCTCCTCTGCCCAACAGTTTACCATCTCAAGAATCACTGTGACTGCTTCTGTCCTCTCCCTCTTGCATGTTTACTGGGCACTTACCAGGGGAAGCACTCTGGGAAAGATAAAAGCTACAGCCCAGTTAGGGAAATAAGGCAAACACACTGCACCAACAGTTACACAGCAAAAGGATTTCGTAACTGTTCGCCTCTCAACCTGCTCTGTTGTCAATCCTTGAAAACTCCAGGTGTGGGGAAGGTCTGCCCATTGTCCCCAGCTGGCCTGGAGTTCTCCTCTGGCTCGTGACAAAAGTTATCCATGTCACTGGCACGAAGTCACCAACAGGAAAAACCGTCACCAATAGCCACCTTGGAGGCACTCAGACTCTGCTGCATGTGGTGTGATGTTTCACCAAAAACGATGCTACTATCCCATTTGTCTTTTTTTTTTTTTTTCCTTTTTTGTCTTTTTTACTGACCAGCAACGGGATCGCAACCCTTGGTGTTGCACCCGCACCACGCTCAACCAGTGAGCGGGAACCGGTCTCCACATGGGATCCGAACCCTCGGCGGGAGCGCCTCCGCGCTCCCAAGCGGCGCACTCTCCAGTACGCCACTGGGCCAGCCCCCATTTGTGTCTTTGAAAAAACTACTTATATATGCACGGAAACAACTTGGAAAGGTAAAATAACTGTTCACGGTGATGTCCTCTAGGTGGTGTACAGGATTATCAGTATCTAATCTCTTCCTTTTGCTTATTTTAGTGTCACACTCCTCCAGAAAAAAAATGTTGCTTTTGTCACATGAAAATTACTTTTAATTAGCACAAAAGTCCTTCTCATTAGTTCTCTTTGTTTTTTCTGCTGGAGCTAGTGAGAGTAAAACGGTTTGGGTTTGAATGCTGCTCAAACAAAATGGCTCACAACCAAACATGTAACAAGCACACCAGGCCAAAAAGAAGATATCTGAGTTCCTTGCTCCCATGGGAAGATGTAATAATCTGAGCTAAGATTAGGTCAATCTTTCCAAACCTCAGACTCACCATCTTTTAAAAAATAAACATACTTGTGTGCACCTCATGTCTTTCACAAGCATGACTTACCAAGGTGTGCCAGACACTTGGAGCACTTCTGCAGAGGCCCTGTAAGAAGTCAGTATTCTGCTGTACAACCAGAGTGGTCACACACCTGTTCTGCACACATCTGTGTCAGAAAAAAACCATTCAGCACCACAAATACACTAAGCATACCGGCCAGCCACCAAAATACAAAAGCAAAAAATACGCTAAGACAAAACCTTCCACTAGAAGCTTTAGGAAATAAAAGCGCTTTTATGTATCTTGTATTTGATTCAGAATTAAGCAGGTTTTTCCTAAGTAGTATTTTCAGTCCTTACAGCCTATCAGTTTTCTTTGATATCTTCAAGGAAGATGTCTCCTGGGTGAGGAATAGTAGGCATCTTTGCTTATACCTCTACAACAAAGATCCCCAAATTTCCTGATCCTGAGCCCTCAACTTCTGTGTGTGTGCGTGTGTGTGTGTAGTTTTTTGGGTTCCTTTTGGCAGCTGGCTGGCATGGGAATCAGAACCCGTGACCTCGGTGTTATAAGGCTGCACTCTAATCACCTGAGCTAACTGGCCAGTCCAACTTCTGTTTTTGAGCTCCAGACAACTCTCTAGACCTTCCTACTGGACTGTCTCACAGGTTCCTCAAACACGTCCAAATTTCATTTTAGGTAACCCAAAATAGAACCCGTAATTTGTGCAAAGAAATACTCATCACCTGTATTCCACTCAGAAAACTGTTACCTTGCTAAAAATAAAGTTTTGCAGAAAGCTGAGAAAGTTCCTTATTTCTGGTACCACTTGATAATATATTCCACAATTTACACTTAGATTTCTTTTCTCAGTTCCCACTCTGTAAAAAAAATAAATAAAAGAAATTGAAAAAGGTGACTGTTGGCCTACTAAAATGCTTTTTATTTATTTATTTTTTGGTAGAACAAATCATCATACTTTATTATTTCTTGTGAACAAAATATTTTACAGAGGACAGCATTGTCAGTATTAATATTGGAATCAGTGGAAATAACGAATATAAATCAAATTTTTAAAGGTGAAAATTTCTCAGAAATGTATGTCTTCAGGTCATTGAAAATTATCTACAAACAATTGGTCTTGGAAAAACACAATTTTTGAAGAACTCTTTCACACTGTGAGAGTGACCTAATGCGAATGAATAAAATCTATTTCTCTAGTTGAACTGGAAATAGGTATACCTCTATTGCTAAATTCTAATAATCTTCTTATTCACTTTTTAAAAATTTACATAAAGTAAAATCACCAGTGTTCTTTCGAGCTTGCTACTTTCTCAATATGTACATAGGTATCCCAATAATACTTAGAGTCTTAGTTTTTCTTTTCTTTTTTGTTAAAGTCTTAAGTATAATAATTTTATTAAGCCTTTTCTTTCAATGTTTCCTAAAGCCTCCCTTTTAAATGACTGTTTAAAATATACCATCTTTGGATTATTTTGCAATTCAGAGTTTTATTTGTGTATGTTGGTTGTTTTAAGCCACTTCACACAATGGTGCTGTAGGATGAACCTGGGAAAAAGTGATGATAAGACAGGGCATGTATGGATCACCAGTTATGTTGACAATCAGGCCCTCGAAAGGATGCAAGAGAGGACCAGTAATTATCCATCCTTGAGGCAGGATAAAAGCAGAACAAACACACATTGGATGGAAACAAACAACAACAATAAAATCATTACAGCTTTATTGACCACAGTGGTATTTAATTAGCTCTATTTTAAGACTTTTCTAAACTTAGGCCCCTCTCTCTACTCAAGGTGAAGAAAATCATTTCCTTCTTGGTAATGCATGTGTGGATCTTATCCTGGCTATGTATATATTACCACCAATGGTCTAAACCATCAAGGCCACTGCCAGCATGCTGGCACATGCTGGCTCTCCAGCCTTTTTCTCGTTCTGTAAACTGCAAAAGAACTCAGACTACCAATGGTAGTACTCCAATTCCTGAGTTATTTGTGTTCATACGTTGCTTTTGATATCTTTTATAAAGTTTAATGTTTTTCTACCTGGAACCTAGAAGACATCTATCTAACAACATATTAGCTGATAATTTCCAAAGAATTATTTCAACAGATTTAAACATTTTCTCTTTAACATAGCAAGTCAAAGTCACACTACACAAAAGTGAAGCATGTTTCCATCATCACTTCATCTGAGGATAGTAAAAACCCTTTCATTTTCATATATGTGGGGACCACCCAGCCCAAGGTCATAGCACAAACGGGCGGGAAAAATCTGTTCAGCAACTCTCTGAAGTCAGTATTCATCATGAAATGGGTATTCAGGATGATCACGCCACATGAGCAGTTCCACAAAGCGGACATTTCTGTTCAAGGCTTCAATCTCCTTCATTTCTTCTTCAGTGAGAGAAAAGTCAAAGATCTGAAAATTTTCTTTGATCCTTTCAGGATTAAAGCTTTTAGGAATGACGACCACCCCTCGCTGGATGTTGAAACGCAAAACAACTTGAGCTGTGGTCTTATTGTACTTTTTCCCGACTGAGTTTAGATATGCATCCTTTAGCAAAGGTGGAGAAGAAACATTCACCCATCTTGGATTCCTGCAGGTCCCCAAAGGGCTGTATGCAATAATGACGATGTCATGTTGTTGGCAAAATTTCAAGAGTTTTTGCTGGGTGAAATATGGGTGGCACTCAACCTGGTTGCTGACTGGCTTGTGTTTGAGTCCTGGTTTTTTCAGGATGAGCTCCAGCTGCCTGCGGTTGAAATTGGATACTCCGAGGGATTTCACCAAACCAGCATCTTTGCAGGCTTCCAAAGCCTCCCAAGTGGCACACAAATCTAAGTTGTGATATAACCATTTGCCATCCTCATCTCTAGGATATATTTCATCTCCAGGCTTAAAGGCCATGGGCATTTCAATGATGTAAAGATCCACATAATCTAGTTTGAGGGTCTTGAGTGTCCTTTCCAGAGTTGGGCGGACCCTCTCTGGGACAAGATTTGTAACCCACAGCTTTCCACAGTAGAAGATGTCCTCCCTCCGCACCTTTCCTTCTGCTATCTTCTCCCGGATGGCGTCTCCCACTTCATGCTCGTTTCCGTAGACGTAGGCCCCGTCAATGTGTCGGTACCCAGTGTCGATGGCAACCTTCACTGATGCTGCACAGCCTTCCTTAGAGGACGAGTTAGGGTCCGCGTAGGTACCAAGCCCGATGATGGGAATGCTATTTCCATCACTTAGAGGTATGCGGTGATTCACAGCACTGAGGTACATCTTGGAGAGAGAGTCTGATGTTTCAGTTTTCTAGCAATGATTCTCCTAAAATACTTTTTAACTAGATAAAAGGGAAAAAAATTAATTGTATTGTAATCATCTTAATTCCACTCTATCAAATTAAAGTTTATTTTCAAGTTGTTAGCGTGTAAAACTAACATCAACAGACGTTACTTACACACGCCATACAGTACATTATAAGGTCTGACAGTTCTGCAAGTTGTCTGTCTCAGAAAGCAAATGAACTGAAAAATAACACTAGATTACAAGTGTCACTAGAATTGCTTTGGAAACATGATTACGTTGTACGGGACATCACAAATCCAACAGCACACAGTGCAACCAAAACCTTTTCTGTGTATTTTAGGTGTCTTTTGGACGTAATCACCAGGCATCGAGTGTCAGACAGCAGCAGGTTCCGATCCACTGGCCTTCCGCTCGGCCTGCACGTGGGCCCGCGTGGCCAAGTGCATCATCCAAGTCTTTCAGTGCCGAGGACGCACGAGTCACCAGGACAGAAACGGTCAAACGCGACCTCATTCACGACGGGCGACTGCCTGTTTCCTTCCTGCTGCCCCAGCGGGCACCCCGTTAAGTTCTAGCCCCGTAGGAAGCCGGGGTTTCGGGCTCCTGTGAACCATCACCGGGCTCTGTCACCTCCTCTTCCAACACGCGTCTCAACCACCGGTCGGCGTCGCTCCCCTGCCTCAGGTAGCACCAGATGACCAGGGCCGTGAGGGAGACGCTGAGAGACGCCACTTTCCACCAGGGCCGCCGGCACTCCTTTCCCACGGAATGCCCCACCGTCCAGCGGGTCGGATTGGCCTTGCTGCAGGAAAACTGCACGGGGAGGTCGGGGTCGTCGTCCTCCTCCCTCTGGGACGCGGGCCGAGCCCGGCCACCGGGCGGCGGGTGAAGGCCTCGGGAGGCGCAGCCCGCGAGCCGCAGCGCACGGACGGCCCTGGGAGAGAGAGGGCAATGAGCGCTCCACCCACGCTGCGACGCCCGCATCGGCGCCCGCCCCCAGCCACCGCAGGCTCACCTGGCCGCCCGCTCCCGCAGGACACGTATCATCGCGACCTCCTCCACTCCGCGCCGCGGCGCGCGCTTGCATCACTTCCGTCGCACAAAACCGGAAGCCGACCGCCATACCAGGCTCCGCTAACGACTACAGAACGTGTGTCGGTTCGCGCACCGGAAGTGGCGAAGTACTCCGCGGACTCTTCCGCCGCAGGCCCCGCCCCGCAAGGGCACGTCAGAAGTGCCGTCCTCTGCCCGCTCGCGGGGGACGCGGCCGCGGGGGGCGGGGCCGTAGTGCCCTCAGACCTGGAGTGACGTTGCCCCTCGCCGTGAGCCCGGGGCACGCCCTCCCCGCGGGAAGGGGCACATCCCGGCCTCGCGTCCCCGGCAGGAGTCGGCTGTCCCGGGGCCCCGGGGCCAGTAGGCCACCGAAGGGCGTCCGGCATCGGGACAGCCCCCGTGGGAAGGTGCTTTGGGGACATGAGGCCGCACACGTGCGCGTACCTGGCTGTTCCGCACTAGGAGCTGTGATTGAGGACGTGTCATCTTCAGAACCAGCCGTGGCCAATGTCATGTGTGTTTGTACCAAATAAAAAACGTAAAACTTGGGCCGACCCTGTGGCGCACTCGGGAGAGTGCGGCGCTGGGAGCGCAGCAGCGCTCCCGCCGCGGGTTCGGATCCTATATAGGGATGGCCCCGGTGCGCTCACTGGCTGAGCGCGGTGCGGCCGTTCACAAAAAAAGGACAAAAAAAAAAAAAAAAACCCGTAAAACTTAAACTAGGTACAACCGGATTTACCCCAGGGCAGACTAGCGTGTTGAGTTACTAATCTGTGTTGTGTTCTTGATGCTGTAGGTCAACCACGGAAAATAAAAACTCCCACTCCCCTCCTTGTCTCATGGATTCTGCAAATCCCAGAAATCCTGACCTCCCTTTTCCCCGTGTGGAGTTCATTTGCTTTTGTTTTGTTCCAAAAAGCGCAAAGGGGTGGGGCCGGCCTGTGGCTCACTCACGGAGAGTGCGGTGCTGATAACATCAAGGCCACGGGTTCGGATCCCATATAGGGATGGAGGGTTTGCTCACTGGGTGAGCGTGGTGCTGACAACACCAAGTCAAGGGTTGAGATCCCCTTACCGGTCATCATTAAAAAAAAAAAAGAGCAAAGGGGTGGTGCCTAAGGGCCCTAGAGAGTGAGAAGGCAGAAGTATGGAGTGGTGGTGATGGAGGCCTGGCCTCAATGCCACACAGCAGCCCAAGGGAGCAGAGCCTCTGGTGGCAGCTGGAACTCTCAGATCCAGGGGTGGGCACACAAGCTCTCCATCCCCCCGTCCCCAGACCACAGAGAAGGACCCACTGCCCCTTACCACACAGACTCCAACAAGGAGCATTCTGTATCTACAGGACCCCCAGAAGGCACGAGGCTTGCCTCCAGCAGCGTGCAGCCATGTCTTCCTGTGGGCCTCTAGGGAAGGCCAATGGCCCTCGCAGCACGATTGTGTGGAACTGGGAAGTAGTGGCCTGAAGTAAATTTAATTTAATTTTTTTTTTTGGCTGCTGGCCGGTATGGGGATCCAAAGCCATGACCTTGGTGTTATAAGGCTGCTCTCTAACCAACTGAGCTAACCAGCCAGCCCTTAAGTAAATTTAATTTGATTTAGAACATAAAACATGTCATCTTATATGCCCAGAGTGTTGTAGAGAAATTCACACCCATTCCAATTGCAAGGTTAGTTGGAATCCTGAAAATTCCAGCTTTTGGTCTACCACTTGGTGGTTGGGAGGCGCTTCTTTCCCTCAGGGTGGCCCTAGGGTAAGTCTGATTCTGCCCTGGTTTTGTTCCAGGTCTACCTCCTGGAAGCAACAGACTCAGCCTGTCACCCTGGGGTGACAGGGACTCCGGTTTATCCACCGTGTCTTGTGTGGTAGGGTGGTCCTGGGTAAGCCCCTTCCCCTGAGCCAGAATCTGCTCTGGGGATGCCACAGAGGGGCTTGGTGATAAAATCAGGTCATGAGCCACCTTGTGGCCTGTAGCATTCCCAAGTCCAAGGTCAGCGTCTCTGCCTCTGGAGCACTCTTCCTGGGCCTGCTTCCTGGCAGGAGAAGCACCAGATTCAGGACCAGTTCTGCACCCCCAGGAACTCTTGCAGAATCGGGGCAAGGACTGCAGGTTGGAGGCGTTCTGAGTTCAGCAACACCTGGAAGTCCTCCCCACCCCGGGAGGCCCAGCTTGGGACCATGTCAGAGCTGCTGTGTCAACAGAGGCACCTGTTTATCCAGGTCCTCCTCACTGCGCTCCACCCCACCTGTTCTATCCCAGAACCGCACCTGGAATCACTGACAAACCAACCCCCCTGCAGGGACCTGGGAGCGCCCACTGTGCATGGGGGGGTTGAGCTGAAAGTGTGGGTGGAGAGGACAGGCTGGAGGGCTTCCTGGAGGAAGTGGAGATCAGAGGACCCTGACTTTAAGCATAGAGCTGTGGGCCGGCTGCTGAGTAAAGCAAGTGCAGCTGCCTAGTTGGGTACTATAGGGCAGCTGGGCACAAGCTGCCCCAGGACAACAGAGTGGGGACAAAGCTGGGAGGTGTGAATGGGGGCTGGGGCTTCACTCTGGGGGAGCCAGACTCAGGGGCTATTGAACCTCAATGACTGTCTTGGATCAGGAACAGAAATGAGGCACCTGGATTGGGCAACTTAAACCCTCGAGCCTCAGCTTCCTCAGCTATAAAATGGGCATGGCATGTCCTACTCAGGCTGCTGGGGGGACTGAAAGATGCTGTACTGGGGTGAATAGTGTCCCCCCAAATTCACGTCCACTTGGAAAACAAGGACATGAACTTAGGTGAAAATAGTCTTTGCAGATACAGTTAGCTAAGATGAGGCCATCCTGGATGACGGTGGCCCTAAGTCTAATGACTGGTGTCCTCATGAGGAGAGGACACAGACACACACAGAGGGGAGAAGGCCATGTGACCACACAGCCAGAGACTGGACTGAGACATTAACAAGCCAAGGAGCACCAAGGATTGCCAGCAACAGCAGAGGAGGGGAGGGAAGCCTGCCCCAGCATCTCCACTAGAGACATGGAGAGGGTGTGGCCCTGCTGACACCTCAATACTGGACTTCTGGCCTCTAGCACTGTGAGCAAATACATTTCCGTTGTTTTAAGTCACCCAGCTTGTGGTATTTTGCTACGGCAGCCCTAGAAAACTAATACAGATGCACAATCATAGAATCTCCCCGCTTCCTGCAGTGTGCAATCCAGAGCAAAGTCCCTCTTCCCTAATCCTCCTCAAATCACAGGACACACAACAGAATCCCATGAGTCCCTTCTGACACCTCCCACGGAGGCACCCTGGGGTCCCCATGGTGTGCATTCTGGTCCAAGTGGCCTGTGGCTAGCGGGTGTTGATGTCCCCAAACGCTCCATGTGTATTTGACCCCCCGGTGCAGTGCACTGGAGTCTCCTGGGTCTCCAGGCCCTCCCCTCTCTGGTTCTTCCAGCGCTCCCTGCTCTTGTCCATGGTCCCTTCTTCCCCCTCCCCCAGGGACATAAACCAACACCTCAGCCTTCATTATCTCAAAGCACACAGAGAAATTTCACAGAGGCCTAATGTCCCGCTAATGTGCTGCCGCCCTTGTGTGCTTAATGGCGGGGTAATTTATTGTAGCGCCACTTGAGAGCTGACATATTGGAGCTATTGATTTTCCCCAGGAAGATCAATGAGGGCTGCATGGAGACAGGCGGGTCCACTGCCCTCGGAAGGGCAGAGCCTTCTTCCTGGGGCTGAGGCCTGACAACAGGGGTGGGGGCTGGCAGGGGCAGTGGGCAGAATACTCTGCTGGGCCCCGCACTACCTGCAATGAGAGGCGGCTGGGAGCAGATGCTGGGACATATGCTCAGGTCCCAAGCCTGGCAGCCTGAATGCTTCAGCCCCCAGTCCCACACCAGGGGCCCGATGGGCGGCAGGAGGTTAGGACACCCACACTGCTCGGCCTGGCCCTGGCAAACCACCCAACACTGGGCCGGCCACGTGCAGGCAGTGATTCTGGGAAAATGTGTCTCTCCAGCAACTCAGAGTCCCCCTCAGTCTGCCTGTCCCCACCCAGCCTCAACAGAAACAAAAGCCAGAGTTCAACCTTCAAATGCCAGACTCCTGGGTCTATCTTGAACATAGTTTAGAACTTAGGAGGGCGAGAAAGGGGATAATCCATTGACCCCACCCCCACCCCAAGTCCCCAGATCTGCTTTTTAAACTGCTCTCAGGCCTGTCTCCATCCTCGCCCCTCTTCCAGCCCCTGTGCAGCCCCAACACCACTTGCTGGGACTGGTGCAAGTAGCACTCTCCTCAGTCTCCTGGCCTAGGTCTCCTCTCTCCCAATGTCGCAATGCTGGCCCCACACTGCACTGCCCAAGCTACTCTTCCCAAATGCCTATCTGCTCCAGTTTCTCCCCCACTCTAGAATCTTCTGTCCCAGGCTGGAGTTTTCCCCTGGGTGTACTGTCAGGCAGAAAAGGGCATCAGGATTGCTCCAGGATAGGCAGCATGAGGGACTGGCTGTCTGTGTATGGCCCTCTCACAGCTGGCACAAGTGGGCATCTCCTTGCTGGGTCATTTGCAGGACCCAAAGCCCCTGTCACAGTCCCAGCCCTGCTAACCGGGTGCCTGAGTACAAGGACGGAGGGGAAAAAGGTGTGTGGGTGTAAAATCCAGAGCCAGGAAGGACATAACCAGTACATACTCCCCTCCTGCATAAGCCATAAGCCAGATAGCCTCATGCTGCAATTTTCTTTCCAGTGCTGGAGGGCAGGGCTGAGGTTCAGGTGTTCATGGCCCCTGTGGCTGAGAAAGGGCCAGATTCCACAGCCACCCAACCCCACCCCTGGCCGTCTCCAGCTGTGAGTTTCCTGTTGCGCTGCAACTAATCACCACAAGCTGAATGGCTTAAAATAACATACACTTCTCATAGTTCTGGAGGCCAGAGGTCCCAAGGGGGTTTCACTGGCCAGAAATCAAGGTGTTGGCAGGGCGGTTCCTTCTGGAGTATTTGCT